GACCCGCTGCCCCTGACCTACGTCTTATGGCCAGGACGCAGCCCCAGGTCCTCCCCACATGTAGGACATAGGACCGAAACTCGGAACTGCAGCCTGACCCTAAACCCAGGCCTTGTTCATCCAGGACCTACATCAGGACCTCTGGCCTCAGCCTTCCTCCTAGGAGACCCCGACCCCAGCCCTGTCATCCTGGCCAGATCCCACTCCAGACCCCCGCCTCCCGGCCTCACCCACCGGACCCATGACCAGAACGCACACCACAAGCCCTGCCATGGATCCTCAGCCTTACCTTCCCGAAGCTGGAGGCTCAGGCAACTGTGCACGTGGGCTGAGAGTTTCTGTGCTTCTCTGTGCATTCTGGGAATTTGCAGTTATTTTTCATAACTAGCATGTATGTGGTACAGTGCAGAAGTGTTCAACTCTGGTTGGTGGAACGGCCCAAACCTAAAATCTGTATCTTCACTGATGATGGGTTATGTGTTACTTCCTTTTTGTTTGGGGTATTTTCAGTAGCACATTGTTTCAACAGTTGTTTAAGCTGCAAGAACTTACCATATTTTTTGTTGCCTAAAAATGGAAAACCCTTGAAGGTGATAAATTTTCAAATCTAAAAATTTGGGGCAAACTGGACACTTTCAACATAATTTTTGAAAGTCACTTGATTATTTAGGAGTTCTTATAAGGTCATACAGAGTTAATTAAGAGCCTCACGAGGAACTGTCAGTCCTGTGACAAGGCGATTTGGCTGGTTCTCTGGTTTTGTGAGGTTGTCATTTACTCTGCTTGAAAAACAAACTTGCTCGCTAGGAAATGCTAATTATTCCCCAGGGACTCTCCAGATTGTTCCAAATAGAACCTCTCTCCACACACTGGAATTTCCGTCTGCTCCCAGCTGTCCGCGTGCGGACGGCAGCTGCTGCCTGTCGTCACCGCGGCATGTTCGTGCGCGTGTGCTGCGGCGCGCACTGGCTGGGCCCCTAGGCCTTGATGAGAGCGTCGCAAGGGACGTCGCTTTTCAAACCCAAATGCAGCTTTGTGTGTATTTATGCTGAAAAGTGCGTTAAATCGGTGGTAGGGGCCTAACGGCTGCCTTTTAATTTGATTAGTTGTTTACAAATAACTTGACATTGCAACAAAGGGTATTATATTTTTGCTCTGGGACTTTTGAGGTTTTTAAAGAAAATTCTCTCATGATCATTCAACCAAAACTATTTGTGTTGACATGCCAAACATGGAAAGAAGTGGAGCTTTCTGTGAGGGAGCAGAATTGAGACTTTTCTGAGGGGTGGGGTGAGCCTTCTAGAAGTGATGAACAAGAGAGGCAGTGGGGCAGGGGCAGTGTCTCTGGCCTTCAGCTCCAGCTGGTGCACAGGGCAGAGCCCAGGCTTCTTACGGACCTGGAGACCTCTGCCCGCACTGACAGATGGGAGTGGTTTTTCTCCATGGAAGGGGTTTTGGCATTTTTACAGTGTGAAATGAGTGAATAACTGTTAGGATTTTTAAGGCAAATGTGTTTTTATAAGGCATTATTTCTAAGTTGTTGATGTAGGATGGTAATAGGTACATAATGGAAAAAAACTATGGACAGTTGGTGTTACCTAAATGTAGATAAATTGTTTTAAAAATCTTTTTCTTGAAATTAAACTCAGTTTTATGTTACAAGTTCTTTTAAAGATTAAAAAATCAAATTGTATCAATTTAAAAAAATAGGATGAAATGCCATTTGCAGCAACATGGATGGACCTGGAGATCATTGTACTAAGTGAATTAAGCCAGAAATAGAAAGAAAAATACCATATGATATCATCCATATGTGTGATCAAAAAAAAAAAAGGACACAAATGAACGTATGTACAAAACAGAGACAGGCTCACAGACATAGAAAATGAATTTATGGTTACCAGAGGGGAAAGGGGGTGGGGAGGGATTAAATTGGGAGTTTGGGATTAGCAGATACTAACTACTATGTATAAAGCAGATGAACAACAAGGTCCTACTGTATAGCACAGGGAACTATACTCAATACCTTATAATGGCCTATAATGAAAAAGAATATGAAAATGAATACATGTATGTATATACACATGTAACTGAATCATGATGCTGTACACCAGAAACTAGCACAACATTGTAAATCGACTACCCTTCAATTAAACAACAACAACACAGAAGAGAGACGGTGGCGAGGTGGCAATTGTCAGTGATCAGGTTCTGGATGTATTTTCAAAACAGAGTTATCAGGATGCCCTGACAGACTGATGTGGGTTATGAAAGAAAGTGGGAGTCAATCAAGGCTGTCTCCAAAGTTTCCGGCCAGAGCAACTGAAAAGATGAGGTTGTCACCCACCAGCGGAGGCTGGGAGCAGACACAGTGGGGGTCAGGGACCCAGAGAGCAGTGTTGGACCCAGTGAGTTGGAGCGCTTACACCTGCAAGTAGAGAAGCTGCGTCGGCATTTTGGAGTACAAGGGAGCATTCATGTGGGACTTATAAATGGGGAGGGAAGGATGCATGATAAAAAAAATAAAATCATGTAAATGTTACAGGATCTGAGCAAAATGCTCCCAGAGCTCAGCATAAGCAGCTCAGTCCAGGATGGGAGGGTCAAATGGGGTGAGGGCAGGAGAAGGGGGATTCCCAGAGGAAGGAGGAGCACGGGGTCACGGAGGGCCAGAGAACAGCGAGGGCTTCAGGGGCTGAAAGGCCAGACAAGGGGCAGCGGGCAGGGGAGGGGACACAAAGGAAGGTAGTAGCCAGATGATAAGGGATATGGAGACACCAACATTAATTTAAGGCTCACGTTTCTGGGGGGTCTCCTCTTTGCTTTATCCATCCTTGAAACTTTCGCTTGTTTGATGGATCATTTAAAATGATGCTGAGGGCTTCTGGTTTCTGGTTCCATGTGTATGGAGCCTGGAAGTCACCTGGATGGGAAAAAAAAATAGTAAAAAGCTGAATGGACTGAAAAATCAGCAACTCCTCGTGGGTCTATAAGAGCAAGGAGGACAAAAACAAACTCCAGATCTTAAGATCAGAGAGCCAGGCAGGTGCACACAGGGAGGCTCGGCTTATGGGAGCAGAGAGTCTCATGGGGGGGTGAGAGGGACTCACAGGCAGCTGGGCATGGGAACCCAGGCTGCAGGAAGCCCTGAACTGTGGTTGGCAAATTGCTGGCAGCTAAGTGCAGGCCACTCTGAGTTAAAAGATCCAAGGGGATCCAGTCATGGCGGTGGGAGTTGGGGGAAGCCATGAAATTGTGAGACTTACCTCCAGGGCCCAACCAGGTTCACCGGTAAACATGGGAGAAAAATCCCCTCTGGTCTCTGTTCTTCTTAACAAGGCCCACCCTCCGCAGAAACCACAGCCTAGCCGTGTGGGGGGTCAGCAGAGCCTAACTGATCTGAGGAAGGAAGTAGCAAAACCCAGCCCAGCCTAGCCATCTTGTTTCCCCTAAGAGCAGAGAATAAAATTTGGAAACACCTGAGAGGCTCACAGCCCAGAGGCACAGGCTCACTAATAGACTGACCCTTGATCGTAGGACTGTTCGACCTACTCATAGTATTAGCCCGACTATACGCTTCCCCTCCCCCACACCTCACCACCACATTTCTCAAAGCCAATTTATAGCAATCTCTTTAACTTGGTATTTCACAACCAGCTGTCAAGAAAAAATTCCAAGGCATACCGAAAGGCTAAGAACACAATTTGAAGATACACAGCAAGCATCATATTTCTTTTTTCCTAGGATTTCCACGTTTTGGCTTATACTGACTGTCCTTGCATGCTGGCTACTCGATCCACTAGCACCCTTTGAATATCAATCATGTTTTAAATTCCCAATCTGACAATCCAACATCCCTGCCGTATCTGGTTCTGATGCTTGCTGTGTATCTTTTTTCAATAAGTCTTATTTATTTATTATGGAGGTACTAGGGATTGAACCCAGGACCTTGTGCACACTAAGCATGCACTCTACAACTGAGCTGTACCCTCTCCCCCTGCTGTGTATCCTCAAATAGTGTTTTTTGCCTTTTGGTATGTGTTGGAATTTTTTCTTCATAGCATATTAAGTGAAGTAAGACAGAGAAAGATAAATATTATATGATATCACTTATATGTGGGATCTTAAAAAAATGGATATGAATTTTATTTACAATAGAAATATACTCATGGACATAGAAAACAAACTATGGTTACCAAAGGGGAAAGGGGGGAAGAGATAAATTAGGAGTTTGGGATTAACAGATACACACTACTAGATACAAAATAGATTAACAACAGGGATCTACTGTATAGCACAAGGAACTATATTCAATTCAGTTTCTTGTAATAAACTATAGTGGAAAAGAATGTGAAAAAAATTAAATATGTATGCATAAGTATAACTGAATCACTTTGCTGTACACCTGAAACTAATATTGGAAATCTGCTACATGTCAATAAAAAATAAAATTTAAAAAAATTACTAGAAAAAATAAAGTGCTACTCCTTAAAAACATTGTAACAAGTGAAGAGTGCCTTTGATGGGCTTCTTAGATAGGACACAGCTGAGGAAAGGATCTCTGAGGTACAGGATATATCAATAGAGATATTTGAAATCCCCAAAGTAAAGAGAATAGAGATTAGGAAAAAACAGAACAGAATATCAAAGGCCCATGGGACAACTACAGAAAGTGTAACATATGTGTGTTGGAACTACCAGAAGAGGAAAGAGGGAAAGAAACAGAAGAAATATTTGAGACACAGTAACTGAGAATCTCCCTCAAATCAGACACCAATGTTAGACATCAAACCACAGATGCAGGACGCTCAGAACACAACACGCAAGGTAAATGCCAAAAACCAAAACCCAAAACAAAATGAAAAAACCCACTATACCTTAATGTATCATTTTCAAATCACAGAAAATCGAAGTTTTTTTTTTAAATCCTGAAAGAAGCCAAAAAGAAAAAAAACCTTAACTACAGAGGAATTAAAGTAAGAATTACACCCAACTTCTCCTTAGAAACCTTGCAAGCAAGAAAAGCAGAGTGAAATATTTAGAGTTAAGGGAAAAACCCACCAACCTAGAATTCTGTTCCCTGTGAAACTGTTCTTCAAAATTGAAGAAAAAAGTCTTTCTCAAACAAAAATTAAAGGGATTTGTTGCCAGTTGACTTACTTGCAAGGAATGTTTAAAACTTCTTAAGAAAAAAGGAGACTGGAGCAGAGGGCCAGGCAGGATGGAGGCTGGCACCCAGAGACTGGGCTAGGGCCCACATGGCCAGGGTGCCAGCCCAGGCCACCTGCGCTGCCCATGAAAAAACAGCTCCATGGCCCCCTAGCATGGGCACAGATGTCATTCTTGGGGTAGTCAGCGGCTGGGGACACTGGGGAAGGATCCTGAGCCCAGTGCTGGGTCCAGGTCCTGCAAGAGCACTGAGTGGCTGCAGGAGGAGCTGGAGGCACTTGGAAGTGTGTTTCTGCTGCTGCTCAACTGCCAGGTGCACGAGCTCTTCGTACATCTAGATGGCCATCAACCTGGCCATCACGGGCCTCAAGCAGCGCCACCTGCACAAGGACAACCGCCCATCCGCTCCATCATTCCCAACCACGCGGACAAGGAGTGCATCGCTACCAGCTACCCCGCTGCAAGGTGGCCACCGTGCTGCTCTACGCCGAGGCTGTGGCTGAGTGACAGCCAGAGCCCAGCGCTCTGGCCTCAGTGCTTGGCCTTCTCCTGCAAAAGCTGTGTGAGGTCAGCTGCCAGGCCTGCTACCTCCAAGGTGGTATCAACAAGTTCCAGGCAGAGTTCTCAGAGCACTGAGACCAACGTGGACAGCTCGTCCCCACCGAGCTGCTCGCTGCCTGCCTCTGTGCTGGGCCTGGGGGGCCTCTGCATCAGCTCTCTGCTCCGACGGTGAGTTTGACCGACAGCAGCCCTGTGCCATCCAGCCCACCGGCCTTCCCCGTCCAGATCCTGTCCTACGTCTACCTCGGCTGCGCCAAGGACTCCATCAGCCTGGATGTGCTCGGCGAGTACAGCATCGGGTGCATCATCAACGTCACACCCAACCTGCCCAATACCTTCAAGCACCGACAAGCAGAGCCCCATCTCTGGAGCCAGAACCTCTCCCCGTTCTCCCCCGAGGCCATCAGCTTCATTGACTAGGCCTGCTCCGCGGAGCGCAGGGTCCTGGAGCACTGCCTGGACGGTATCAGCCTCTCGGTGACGGTCACAGTCGCCTACCTGATGCAGAAGATGAACCTGTCACTCAGCAACACCTACGACTTCGTAAGGGGTACAAGTCCAACATCTCACCCAACTTCAACTTCATGGGGCAGCTGCTGGGCTTCCGGCGGACGCTGGGGCTGAGCAGCTGTGTGACAACCACACCCCCAGCGAGCAGCTCTGCTTCGCCACGCCCGCCATCCGCACCCTGTCCCTGCTCCACACGCTCGAGTCCACGTGAGGCCGGGGGCACGGGGGCCGGGCCTTCCCCACCCTCCCCAGGGCCAGCTGGGAGGGCCCACACCCGCTGCCTCTGGCCTGAGGAACCCGGACATCGCATGTGCCCAGAGGCCCAGGCTGATGGGCGGCGGAGCTTCCCTTGCCATCCGGGGTAAGCACGGCCCCCAGCAAGGCCTCCCCCCGCAGGACTCCCCCTCAGCGAGGCCTCCCCCTGCAGGACTCCCCCCCCCAGCGCTCAGACCCGTGGCGTGGTAAGTCCAGTGGAGCCCCCTCCTCACCCCAGGACACTTTTCTGCTGATGGCCCAGCCAGTCTGGCTATTTTTTATTTAAGACACATCCATGGACTTGAGTTTACTTTTTACTTTTGGTAGGTAAATCCGAGCTTCTTGGAGCACAGTGTTCATGCCCTTCTTGATTTTTTTTTTTAATGAAAAATGTTATTTTCAGGCTACAGGCAACAGTGGATTGTATAAACCAGTATTTTATCTCTTTCTTGATCCTGCGAGAGAGAAATGTTCTCAATTTTGTTTTTCTATTTCAAAAAGCAGTTCTTGGGTTTTTGTTTTTAATGAAGAAGACAAACCCCGCCTTGATCTCGACCAAATGCATTTGGCACATGTGTGAAGCCTCCACCTCTGCAGCAGCGCTTCTGAAAGGGGCAGCTCACTGCTCTCCCGGCATTGGAGCCCGAGCCCTGCCCACACCTCCCATCTCTGCCCAGCCCAACTCCGTACTGCAGCTCCCTGTGAGGACTGCCACGGGCTGTGAGTGACGGGCTGGACAGGCAGCCTTTATATTCTCTGCCCTCCCAACTGCCCTTCTGGTGGTCCCTGCAGGCTGCCTGAGGCAGGAGATAGGGGCCCTGTGCTGTCCTGCTGGACGCGGGGCCACGGGGGACTGCCAAGCAGTAGCATTAGCGCTCTGGGCTCAGCTCTGAGGGGGGCCTGGGCCCCAAACCCTTTTCTATATGTGCCCACTGCTTCCCTCTCTCTCTCTCTGTGGCTGAGAGTAGAGGTCCAGAAGCTGGGGAAGCTTCTTAGGTGGTAGCGCCCAGCCCCACCTCCCGTTTCTTCCCACACCATGGCTTTTGCTCTGGTTCAGCTGCCACCCTCAGCCCCTTTGTCCCGTGGAAGCCTACCCTGCACTCATCTCACTCATGTCTTCTATTAAGAAACTCGCACCCATTTCAGTCCCAGTGCAGTAAGGCAGCGAGGATGGACTAGGAAAGAAAGGGGTGTGAGGCTCTGTCCATCCCCCACCCTGCCCCTGTATCCACAGAACAAAACCACAGATTCCATTACCCTCCTCCAGGCCTGTTCCTTCTCCAAGCTCAGTTCTCCCAGGTGTCAGGACTGCATGGGGGCCCTGGGAAGGGTGAGTGGTCAGGCCGGGGTCCCTGAGTGAGCCCACCCTCAGCATGTGAGCAAGGCCATGGAAACTCTGCCTGCACTGCATCTTACCTCACAGGGGTGGTTTTCAGGGATCCTTTAAGGAAGCAGATTAAAATCTTGCCACAGTTGAGAAATTGACAAAAAGCTTCCATGCTGTACATGGTTCTCTTCCTCTTTTTTACCTTTAAAACTAAAAACCCAGAAAGATGCATCAGATTTGTGTAAATGAGGGCATGCCAAAGGGGAGCTATTTTTGATTTATGGTTTTATGAAGGAAAATTTGTGACTATATATATATATATATATATATACACACACTACACACACACACACACACCCCAAACCAGCAACAGGACTTCGTTTATAGTGCAAATAATTTTTTTTTAAAGGAGATTAATACAAACTCAGATCTACATGAAAAAAGGAAGAACTTGGAGAAGAAATCAGTGAAAGTAAAATAAAAACTTTTATTTTTCTTATTTTTAATTGATCTACCAGGTAACAGTTTGTTCAAAATAATACCAACAATGTGATTATGTATGTATATATTAATATATATATATATTTCTGTGTATGTGTTTATATATGTGGATGAATGACAGCAAAGATGCAAGGTATGGGGGGGAATTAGAATTACTTTGTTATTGTAAAGTACTTGCACTGCCTATAAAGAGTTACCCTGCTATTTGAGGCTGCACTTGGTTTAGGTAGAAATGTCTATTGCAAACTCTAGGGCAACAGCTAAACAAAGTAAAAAAGTACAACAGCTCTGCTAAGAAAGGAGAGAGAATGGAATCATATGAAATGCTCAATTAAAACCACACACAGAAAAAGGCAAGGGGTGGGAAGTGGGCAAAATAGGTAAAGGGGATTAAAGATACAAAGTTACAGAAATACAATAAATAAGTCACCAGGACATAATGTACAGCCTGAGGACCATGGCTAACAATATGGTATTGCATATTTGAAAGTTACTAGGGAGTAAATCCTAAAAGTGATCACAAGAAAACAAATGTGTAACTATCTGTAGTGACAGATGTTAACCAGACTTGTGGTGATCGTTTCTAATATATACAAATACAGAATTATTATGTTGTATACTTGAAACTAATATGTCAATTATACCTTAATTTTTAAAATAATAAAATAAAAACACACAAAAGGAAGACAGTAGGAAACAAAAACAGGAATAAAGAACACCAACAGATAAAAGACAATAAGGAATATGGTTGATATTTATCCAACTGGATTAATAATCACTTTGAATATCAGTTAAGAGAGATTATCAGAGTGGGTTAAAAAGCATGACCCAACTATATATTGTCTACAAGAAACCCATTTTTATAAATATAAAGACACATATTGGGGGTAGGGTATATACAGCTCAGTGGTAGAGCGAATGCTTAGCATGCATGAGGTCCTGGGTTCAATCCCCAGTACCGCCATTAAAATAAAATAAAAAATTTAAAAAGACACATATAGATTAAAATGTTAGAGACTGAGATTTCTAATGAAATCTCATATCCATGAGGTCAATTTTAACCGCTCCTGATTTGCTGAATGTTCACCCATGATTTGAATATGAAGAATGAACACATTCTTGTCCATCTGGTTCACTTGTCCTTTAATAGTAAAAGTAGAACAAAGGGGCCAAAGCGGCCCTCCTCTAGGTGAGTGGATCAGAACTCTCTCAGGTTCAGCCACCCTGAAGGAGAAAATGATATGGAGGAGTTGGAAAAAGGTATCTTTTAGAGCTTTCTAGCTTTAATTGATTTAGCCAACATTTGTTTTATTGAGGGCCTATGATGTGTCAGGCCCTTTGGAAGGTGCTGATACGAATATAAAGAAGAAAGCAACACAAATCTCCACCCTCATGGGAGGTGTTTCATCTTCTCTAAGTCCGTGATTCTGCAGAACAGAACCACCCATTCAAAGGCAGAGCTGAAAAATGAGTGTTTCTGAGGATTAGTCCTTGAGTTAAAAATAAGTGAGTTGCTGGGCATGTATCCAGGGGGAACTCTAATTCAAAAAGACACACACACACCTCAATGTTCACAGCAGCACTATTTACAATAGCCACAACATG